TCTTGAGTCTAGTAGGTTTTGAATGCAAATAGCACCAGTTTTCATGCACTCCTTACTGATTATCTGGAAGAATTACTGCTAAATTTGGTTGCTGAATTACCGCTTGCTACAATGCTAAATGCTAAAGGGAAGTACTATCATGCCTTTAAAGGCACTCAAGGGAAAAGCAACAGTCAAGCATAGCTGCAGATACTTTCTAAGCTCATAACTCAAACCATGAAGGTTTATTCCTTTACACATTCCCAAGCTCTCTTTGTTCCAAGATAGAATTATAGAGTCATAGAATCTCATGAGCTGGAAATGATCCACAAGGATCCTCAAGTCTGCCTCTTAGCCCTGCATAGGATCATCCCCAAGAATCATGCCATGTGCTTGAAAGCTTGGTCCAAATGCTTCTCGAACTCTGTCAGGCTTGGTGCTGTAACCACTTGCCTGGGGAGCTGTTCCAGTGCCCAACCACCCTGTGGGTGAAGAACCTTTTCATAATATCCAACCTATGGGTATTGTAGACATCATACTGAAAGGCAACGTCTTCTATGTCTATGCTGTGTTGTGATCTGGATAGACTGGAGAGATGGGCTGATTCCAATGGGATGAGGTTCAACAAGGCCAAGTGCCAGGTCCTGCACTTTGGCCACAACAACCCCCTGCAGCGCTACAGGCTGGGCACAGAGTGGCTGGAGAGCAGCCAGGCAGAAAGGGACCTGGGAGTGCTGATCGACAGGAGGCTGAACATGAGCCAGCAGTGTGCCCAGGTGGCCAAGAGGCCAATGGCATCCTGGGCTGCATCAAGAACAGTGTGGCCAGCAGGAGCAGGGAAGTGATCCTTCCCCTGTACTCAGCGCTGGTGAGGCCACGCCTTGAGTATTGTGTTCAGCTCTGGGCCCCTCAGTTCAGGAAGGATATTGAGGTGCTGGAGCGGGTCCAGAGAAGAGCAACGAGGCTGGTGAAGGGACTTGAGCACAAGTCCCATGAGGAGAGGCTGAGGGAACTAGCATTGTTTAGAGAAGAGGAGGCTCAGGGGTGACCTCATCACTCTCTACAACTACCTGAAGGGAGGTTATAGCCAGGTGGGGGTTGGTCTCTTCTCCCAGGCAACCAACAACAGGACAAGGGGACATGGGCTCAAGCTCTGCCAGGGGAGGTTTAGGTTAGATGTTAGGAAGAAATTCTTTACAGAGAGGGTAATCAGGCATTGGAATGGCCTATCCAGAGAGGTGGTGGATTCACCATCCCTGGAGGTTTTTAAAAAGAGATTGGATGTGACCCTTAGTGCCATGCTATAGTAATTGGAGTTGTATCAGGGGTTGGACTTGATGATCTTGGAGGTCTTTTCCAACCCAATCTATTCTATGATTCTATGATTAGGTTTTACATCCACTCCCCTACCCTATTTTGCATACATGTACATGTGTGGACATATAGATAATTAGCAGCAAACATACATATATGTTGTCCAACAGACATACAAGTATTTGCTAAAAAAAAAACCAAACAACAAACTACAAATAAAAAAAAATTTAGTTTGGCTTTAATAGTGCTTAGTCATCATACATGATTTTTTGGACATCATTCAGTAAAAGAGCCTGCACCAAAATAGTACAAGTAAGGGCAGGTCTGACTTCAACTACATAGACTGTTTTCATGAAAATACTATAATCTGTACTGAATCTTCAGCTCAGCCCAGACTATCCTAGATTAATGCTAATATTTTAAATATTAGACACAGAACATGTTTCAGAAAGAAACATATATAAATACTGAAACATAACTAAAGGAACATTAGGTGATACTACAAAGTAAATAAATCCTTGTTGGGACCATGACAAAGAATTTAACTAAGTAAAATGCAAAATGATTAAAATAGTTGATGATTATTAATATAGAGTAAATGAAGTCCAGGAGGATTAAACATTTGAGAACATTTCCCTCTCACAGTTGATGTAGAAATGCATGTTTTGATGCTCCTCCATATGTTGTTACTCTTATATAGCTAAGAACATTAAGTTTGGATTGCAAAGATTTCCTACTCTCTTTAGGCCACATGAAATACATTTTTATAAAATTAGTACTTAAAAAAGTAGTCACATAACGCGGATCTTCTATCTTTCTTGTATTGTCTTATACTGTTAATAAATGGCAAGTTAGAAGGAACTAAAAAAATATTATATGATATGATGGATAAGCTAAGAAAATCAGAACATGTTCTACATTACAGAACAAGTGAAATGATAATTATTGACATTAAAATAAAATCAAAACAACATTCAGTTTGACTGAGCATTTTGTAATATTTTGGTACTTTTTTTCTAAATTGTTCTTCTTAAAAAAGTAGCCAAATTATTTTGAATGATAGTATAGCTAGTTGAAAACACTTACTATGTGTGTGTTATGTCAAATGATGGCAATCTTTCTCTCTCTTTTCCAAAATTCAAGAACAGTTTATACACCATTATTCCCTGTATGAATACTCCTGAACACTTCTGCATATGCCAAAGAGTTTACCTGTATATCTCAGTTAAATTTATTTGCACAATTTCCTCTTTGGCCTTCATGATTTTGCTCATGATAGGTATATTCCTACTGTATAGACAAACAGGGTGTTATTTAAGCAGACAATTGGTAATCAAAAAGCTACAAATGTTGAAATTTACTCGACAAAGTTTTGAATGATTCTTAAAAGAAACAATCCCTGGGAAGGCTTATGCAATCAAAAGAGGAAGTAAATTACATGGTAAGCTTACATATACAGTGACGCTGCCTAGTGCTAATTACGTGGGGAAAAAAAAGAGGTAAAACCAAACCCAAAATTCCAGACTATTGTATCACTCCTCACAGAAGAGATTTTGTGTCTATAAGAAAGAATGTTAAAAGATGATCATATTACTCTTTGGTCTGCAGCTACTTCTGTTTTTTTCCTGCAGAATACTAAAAAAACGTTTTCTCTAATGGAGAAATATTTGTATTCGCATGTGCACTGGCAGAGGCAAACCTGTCTTACACGAACACTAGAAACTAATATGCAGCATAAAATGTAGAATTAAGAATAATTCAGTGCACACACAAAACTATCAGTAGTGAGAACTGTTTCTCCAGTACTGAAACCAATGATGATTTCATGATTCAGTATTTCACAAGACTGCCATTTGATAAAAAGCCATATTTGAAATGCTCAATTAAAGGTGAATTACATGTTCTTAAGAAAGAAAACAAGAAATTATACATTTGAAGACTATAACTTTTTGCTATATTGTTTATAGAATATCTTCTAAATTTATTCAGATGATGCTTTAAAAAAAGCTTGAATATAGTAATTCCACAGAAAATGTCCACATTTTCTTTATTTAAAATCAATTTAGGAATTTGCTTA